CCAGAGGGCCGAGTATAGGACAGAATGTGTAGCTCTTTATCGACAAGTGATGGCGTCTCAAAATGAGTGAAAAATGTTCGAGAGGGACGTAAAATAATATACAATCAATCAATCAAGGTCAAAGGTCCATAAAACAATACAAAATAGGAGCAAAGCAAACACAGACTTCCAAAACCTCAGATTATGTGCCATGGAGGAATGAGCTTTCCCTGTCGATCGGTCACACCAACTGTGTGCTCTTTGTCGTGATTGGGAAATAAAATAATTTTCATAGATCAAGATTGATATCGATACAATAAGATATCATCATGATATCTTCGAAATCGACGATAGAGATAAAGAACCAAGTCTTAAATGGTTTTTAGTAGTAACAATTGATCTCTGATCTCGATTGATATCGTTCCAAAATGACCAATTGTAAGGCCTTTGTTTATGTACTGAATTTGTCTACGGAATATTCCATTTAACAAATAAATAGATAGGATGCACGGCGGGTGATACCGGTCAACGGGGGATGCTTACTCCTCCTAGGTACCTGATCCCAACACTGGAATTACCAGGACTTAATGTTTTATTCCCTGTTCTCATTACTGTTTATTTTTAGAGATCGATTACTGTTAGCGTTCTGCTAAACGTGTTTTGTAAATAAGAATTGAAATCATAACAGGGCTACAGTAGGACTATTTGTTGACATGACAGTGAAAATTGTTCTATCCGAGTACAAGGAAAGACATAAAGATATATATATCAAGAAGGCTGTGCAGAACACTTGAGCTCTGTTGTTTTCCTCCTCCGATTTCCTACAGAACACTTGATGTCTAAATGTAAGTCAGTTTGATTATACTTAACTCCACCTAGATCTTTTTCGGCGAAGATTTTTGTACATCTAGAATGCCAACCTTAAAAAAAACTATGTAAAGTAAAGTATCAGGAAAATTTCTTTTTCTGAAATTGTTACAACAGGATAATTTTCTACAACTTTTTTCTTACTCGAATAAAAATTTCTGTTTTTTAAGGGAGAAGGGACATGCTTTGATTTAAAAGTTTTTTTTTACACACACACACCTAGATCCTTAATACCTCGAATATACACAGCTAGATTTTCCTTGCTTTATATGAAATTTAACAATTTTGTACGAAATATTATTTTCCAAAAAATCACTGAAAATTTCAATGTACCAATTTGGATAACAAAATTGTGACTTGTAATAAAAGATCATTTATAAAGATTCAAAAACTTTATCGACAAATGTGTTTATATACTAATAAATAAAATCGTTTCAGAAGTTGTATCAGAAAGACATGTATCAGGTTTCCCTTTAAGAAAATGATTTTTCTTTCGCCATAACAAACAGGAATATGTATTATGTTTTAAGACGATGTTATTTATTTAGGCCTCAAAATGTGTAACACAAGGACGAATTAAGAAGCTATGCATATAGATATAGACCAACATAGATATAGATAAGCCGGAAGATCATTAAAAAAAATAATATTGGAAGCATTTCAAATAGCAACACATTTAAGAAAGAAGGAAAATAATACTAGTTATTTCAATCATGATACGATGGAAAACTTTCTTCCTTGATTTGGGCGAAACTTGGCAGGGTTACAGAACCTTAGTGATATGTTTACATTTCTATTACATTATAAATATTTTATGAATATTTTACCAGGTATTTAAAAAAAATGTTAAATAGAGACAATATTTTTTCTACTAAAATTTTAACTTTTTTCCGTAAAAGAATCAAAAAATCATTGCATCACCAAGTTCTGTTAATGTAAAAAAGAAAAAAAAGATTAAATCGATCTTGAATATATCTTTTTTACTAAAGTTGATGTTTTTTCTTTAGAGGTACATGATGTAATTCTTCCTAGAAAATTCGACTATTTAAAAAAATCAATCTAATCAGTATATGAAGAAAAGATAATCACACTCAATTAAACAAAAAGTCCAATAAAAAATTGAGAGTGAGCCAACAAGGACGTCTTTAACAAACAGAAATAAGATCAGGTGCCATGAAGGAGTATGTATTCGTTATTCAACGTCATGCAATTTACTTTGGAATTATGATTAATTTCGTGATAACTAGGTGATCGTGATATTGATAGGTAACCCTCACGAATTCACATCCTCAGCGAATGATAAGTGGGGTTTCTAAAAAAAAAGAAAAATATAAAAAGGGTTGACTAATAAAAGAGGACAATTAGTACCCATGGAATTCATACATTTTGTTGGAAGTTCTGTTCTCTGCAGAATGCATACACGTACAGAAAATGTGCTTTTTGTACTGATTGTAATTAATAACATGAACCTTAACCAAAAATATCTACACAAAAGCTCCAGATAAGGAGCCCAAAAACTAGAGCTCCTGCTCCAATTTAAAAATATAAATAACAAACCTCTATTTTGAACACATATATAATAATTGATGCATTAAAATGCCTGCCCGAGATAATATATTTTATATTCTTATAGATATGGATAGCCACAAAAACTTAGGTTAAGCAAATCTTTAACATAAACCTGCATCTTTGATAGTAGACGTGGTGCCTGTAAAAGCAGTATGCGTAAGGGTAAAATAATGCTCGATTAATTGTATATTAGTTTTTATTACATTTCTAACCTGTCTGTAATTTACATTGTGTGACATTGTGAAAGGATATCAAAGTGCTGTCACAGTGTGACAAATATCAGAAATGCGGTAAAACTCTCGATTTACCTTACCATAACGAAGAGTGTTGTAAAAATATTCCTTGGACTGTTATAATATATAGAGAGAGTAAATAAACCATTTTGACATAGAATTAGACTGCCAAAGTTCCCCCAAATATGTTGCTAAAATTTATGTTTACACTGTTTTCAATCTCGTATATCACATAGCTATGACATCTCAACCGCTCAACTATGACGTCATGTAGCCTTTGACTGTATATATACAAAAAGACAAATAGGCCAAGGGAAAATCAAAGAAAATGTAATAAACAGAAAATTCAATATTTTTTAGTGAATATGGAATTTGTTTAACTCGTGAGACAGGATTTTTTTGATACTTTCACTCGTGCTTCGCACTCGTGAAGATATAAAGAAAATCCTGTCCCACTCCTGAAATAAATTCCATATTCAACTACAAAACATTGAATATCCTCTATATGTCCCATTCAACAATTTTTCTCGTATACAGAGAAGTCAGGCTTGAAAATTAAAATTTTTTACACGTCACTCAGGGCCATGGAGCAGTGAAGGTTCTATATAGTGGCAACGCCTACCATGACACTAGACCTAGGTTTTGAAGGTCTCATCAGAAGCAATCTAATGTCATATTTATTTCTTTCTTTCAAGTATTACTTTACATGGTCTTTAATCTGTAAATTACCAAAATTTGTTAGGGAAGGTGAAATCAGTACGGTGGTAGAATTTTTTTTTCATTTATTCAATAAATGTTTAAAAAAATGTGTACAATACTAATGGACTTTTATTCATAGATAATTTCATGGAAAATCATTGTTAAATAAGACAGTACGTCTACAAATCGTTGTCTATTACCATTCTATCCCCTAAGTTTTTCTTTCCCCTTAAAGTTACCAGCCAGTTAAGTAAACATTAAAAAAAAATCAAATAATACTACCCAAGTTTAATCCACCTGAAAATCATGTTTAAAATCAAAAATCGCCCATATTTTTTTCTGTACAAAATATATATATTAAATATATAAGTAAAAGTTCAGCTAACAAGATTACTTTGAGAAAAAAAATTACAAACGTACGTGAAATATACGGAAATAACGAACAGTAAAGCTTAAAAGTCCATTGAACACAGAGTAAGATCAGAACAAACAAGGATCCCTAAAACATCACTCGTGTGATCATCGTTTCATCGAGGAGTGGGCATCTACTGCCGACCAATTACAACCGTGCAGATTATCATTAATTGGAATATAACACATCCGACGACAATGCAGTATATAAATAATGATCTAACAATAAGTGTAAAAAACGTCTGTCAGCATATTTGACTAAATGATAGACCGAATTTGCTGCATCCCCGCTTCGTGCATTCGTGGATACGTGCATGTATGAAGCAGTTTTTATACGATGTAATTTTAATTGGGATGTAGTATGACAATAAGTATTAAACACAAACTCGGCTTATCAAGTCAAACAATGAAACCATTCATAACAATGAAATAAGCTCTCCCAGTCATGTACTTAAAACTTCTCTTTTACAAAACATTCCCAGAGTATATTTTTGTATTCTTTATGCATACTACGAAATGTGAAAAATACTAACTATGAATAAAAACAATAAGGAAGGATCTTGCAATAGTTTGTATAGAACAATAGTGATTTGATTAAACTAAACTGTCTGAAGTCATACCTAGTATGTACAATGCTTTAAATCACCTACATATATATCTTACATTCTTTCTTCCTCTTCTCAGACTTCTATGGTAGAACTTCTTTGAAATCACAAGAGCATAGTCTTTAGTATCAAATAAAAAATCTTTTCTGTGTGTATATTTATTACCCTTTTTTGCACAAAATGCATTTGCTACTTCTAGGTTTTCAACACGTAATTATAACTATGGTTTGTTTCGATTCGACTAGAATTCAGCGTCTTGTAAAATGAAATGCTAATGAAGTCTGATTATAGGTCGGTGTTAACGTGTGAACAATGAAGACATTAACTTTAAATATTTTGAAAGTGGCCTTATAATGATGATAATAAAGAAAATACAAGCACGAAAGCGGACATGCGTCAAACGGTTTTATTTAAAAAGAAATATCAAATTTGCCTTTTAAAATGAATTCAGAATTTACCCAAATCTTTCTAATTCCATATATAAAACTAATGGATGCTTTAATTTTGATTCATCGCTAACTTTATTGACATGTCTGTACTGAAGTCGCTCTCTTAAACCTAATTTCACATACTTATATCACTTTCTATTTTTGACTTTTTGCTAGACTTACAGAAGTAGGAAAATGAAGAAACTTATTACAGTTTTCCTGTTTATTCTGTTTTCTGGTAAGTTTCTGTTCAAAAACAAATTATGTCTTTATTGTAAGATTTTTCTTCACTAGTTTTCTAAGAAATTCGAGATTTATCAGTTTGAATTTGTTAAGGAAAGTTTTTTTAATAGCTAGAAATCGATAGATATCATTAATCTTATTTACAATTTCATTTTAGCTCTCCTGAGTCGAAGACTCAGGTGAACTTTATTGATTAAAGGGCGTCCGACCTATGTCTGTCACATTTTCGACTTCCTCTCTAGAACCATTGGGCCAAGTTCAGCTAAATTTACCCAAAGAATCACTGAGTGAAGGAAATTCATGTTTGTTAAAATGAATGGACACGCTTTCATTCAAGGGGAGAGAATTCGGAAATAGTGAAATTTTGGTTGCAATCTTTTAAAAATCCTTTTCTAAAGAACAACTGGTCAAGAAAAGTTAAAATTTCATTTATTTATTTGAAAGCTTTATTGTTAACTCTAGATTAAAGTTCATCCCATAAACGCCGATGTACGGCGGGGCCACAGGAATGGTCAGAGTTCCAATAGAAATATATGTGGTAAATGCCTTTAAAAATCTTTTCGAGAACAGGAGAGTCATGACTAGTGCTATTATTGAAATGTATATATCTTCAGGTAGTTTAGATTCAAATCTTTTCATATTTAGGGTGGGAGGGTGAGCGATAAGATTTTTTACATATGAGTACAAAGGAAAAACTTTTAAATTCTTCTGCCTAAGAACAGCAATGTCATGGTAAGTAATATTGATATCGAAACATCATAATGTAGTGTAAATTTAAGTTGCTAAAGTAAGCTAAACTTTTCGACACTGAACTGTTTTTTTCTAGCCGATGTTCTCAGGCTAAGTATGTGGCCAATTACTTCGTCATATACTTTTTTGTTATGATTGTTAATTAGTAAATAGTTAACATTGTAAGTAGACAAATTTTGACAAAAAATAAATTTATTAATCTTTCTATTTTGTCGACAGTTTCGCCTGTACAAACTTGCGATGGGGTTGTGGATATAATCCTTCAGCCTTATTTGGGGAGAAAAGTTACCTACCCAGACGATTACCCGGTGAAAACAGGATATGAAGCGTAAGAATTTTTCAATCTGTTAACAACTAGAATTTTTCATACTTGTCTTTCAAAGTACATGCAATCAATGTCAAATGCTTTCAGAGGCAAGAACTGTTCCTGGAAAATATCTGCACCGAAAGGATATGTTGTAGTGGTTTATCAGAAATGGGTGTGTGATGCTGATGTAACTATCGATCTATATTATGTTATGTACACACACACACACATACACTTTCTCTCTTTCGTAAGAAATAAAAACCCCCAGAAATTTAGTAAAAAAATTGACCTTATATATATGTTGGATCCAAAGTGCAATGGAACTCCAAAGTCCGACGGTCACACACCAAAGTCCGATGGTCTGCGCTAAACCCCTATGGTTTCAAACGCCAAGTTCTATGGTGCGGAAAATAATTAACTTTACTGCATCATAGTGCTACTTCCCTAATAATACATTATGCGAAACCTTACCCTAATCTATCGGATAGGTGCGAGACTAACCGTAATCACTCGATTAACTAGTGTTCGAGGAATAACCCTAAATCTCTCCGGTTGATGTAAAGCAAGGACTTATCCTAATCGGTCGAGTGGTGTGCGAGATCTATGGAAGGTGCAAGCAATCAGTAAAATCAATCATATTGAATGCGCGGACGAATTCAGGTATGATGGCTTTTGAATGCAGGACAACGGTGTCAAGGTTTGACATCTTGATTGTTTCTCTGCACCGTCGCACTTTGGCGCAGCGCGTTTCATAGGAAAAGAGAAATAAGACTTTGGTTTGAACATCGGACTTTGGTATCCGACAACAAATAATCAGGGTTTGGGAAGACCATCGGGGTTTATCGAGATCAACGGAATTTTGTGTCACCATCGGACTTTGGGGTCTTACATATACAGAAGACAGTTTTATCAATTCTTCTTCGAATTCCATGAATAGGTGTTTATGATTATGATCGAGGTTATGTATCAGGGATATATGCTTTGTGTTAGTACCCAATTAAAAGTATATGTGATACATGTAAGTTGTTGAACCAAGAATTATAGAGTTCTTATAATAAACAGAGAACATTTGTTTACTTTTAAGCACCTTATGATTCTTAGTGTTAGATACCGCTACCTAAGCATCATAATGTGAATACATATATTCAAATTGGTTAAAATTGAAAAAATTCTCCAATTTAACGCGTAGATTTTCCGTAAGTATTTGGAAAAAAATGACCTCTCTTAGTACAAAATTAATGAACCTTCATGGTCACACCACATTTTTTATACCCAGAACTTTTTTTCAATTGATTACTGTGATAAGCGTACTCAAAAGACAAATTAATATATCATTTTAAGACAAGAAATATCTCAAACGAAATTGAGCACATTTTCTATAAATTGAATATCTAAAAATAATCATCGGTAGATGCATTTGATAGAAATAATGAATATACGTAATATGTAAAAAAGTGTCAGTTTCCGCGATTTGCAAAAAAAAATTCATTTCAAAAAATAAACTGAAGAAAGGTAATTGAAATATTCACTTTAAGAACTGAACAATAAATGACTATAATCCACTGATGCTATGGATATAAGCATGTTTAAAATCTTTTCCCCCAAAATGATTATGTTCAGCTGTTCCTCAGGAAAATTTTATTTTCTAAATGAAGTTGTAATAAAATATTGTTCTATATACTTCACTCCACAAGACAAATGTTTCTTAAAGGTGCAACAACCTCAGCACAAAACGACAACTGTGTCTCTTGTCCCAAAACTAACGGATACTGTAGCGACATTATACAAACTAGAACATCTGAGGTCCTACTTTCTATGTTGACCATTTTTCCCCATAGTGGAGGCGGGTTCCAGTTTCGTTTTATGGCTGTGGAAAGGAGAACAAATAGATATAATTTTTGCAATGTTAATACACTATCTATACTATTTACAAAATCCAAATTTAATGCACTCAATATATATCCTTCCGGAAGCTAACTGAATGTAAATTATGACATGAGTGTTTAAGTCGAGCATTTTAATTTTTTTCACAGCTTCTGCTTGCGCGAGTAGTGGTACAAGGCTGTTGGCGGAGAAGACACCAAAATATGTCATGTCCCCTAAATTCCCATCCAATTATGAAAGGTAATCAAAGAAGAGTACAGAAATAATGGAATGTCACCAATCCGCTTTTGAAAAAAAATGGTCAGATCCTCTGATATCAAAATGATCTATTACAATTTTTTCCATAACATATATTAAATAATGCAAGTTGCACAAAATACATTAAAAATGCCTCTATGAATATTGACAAAGTATTGCTGATAAATTTTAAGGACTATAATTTTTAATAGGGATTTTTAAGGACTTTAATTTCTTGTGGTGGAGAGATTTAAGAAGGGAAATTTCAAAATGTAGAGATTTGATTTATTTAGGGATGGATTTGAAGCAGAAGAGAAGGTATTTTCATACGTCACCATTCCGCCAAAAATATAGTCCTTATATAAAATATAGATTTCAAACAGTTTACCACTTCTATTTGAAGCAGTACGTGATGAAGAAAGAACAATATGATTTTCGAAATCTCTTAAATCTAAATATATAACAATAAATTAAGCAGATATACTTTGAATTTTCATTTCCTCGGAAACCATGTAGAGAAATTTCCCTACTGTTCAGAGAAAGAAAGTAATGCATATATACAAGGAACATTGGCGCTAGGAGTCAATGCTTTTTCACAGAACAAAAGTCACACATGCCACTCTACTTGAATATACGGTATAAAAAGGAATATTTAATGTAGAAGTGACAAATTTAAATTGCTAATTTTAGAAGCAAAATATTTTTACAACACATTTCAATTTCTTCCCTCTCTTCTTCCATATTTGAAAGTTACTTTAATTGCTGATATAATATAAAAACTAATGTTTTCTCTAAATTTCAAGAGTCAGACATAGTGACAAATTTAAATTATTCAACCAATTTCAATTTGCTGTTGGAATAGCTGATAAAGATTTTTCTTATGAATATTGTTTGTTAATTTTAATAAATTTTAAGAATAAATATTTTCTTATGTTTGCCAACGCATTTTGAAATTTTTAAAAAGTTACTTTGCCATACAAAATTGAACTGATATAATAGGAAAAGGGTCTATATCGTATATATCCGTTTTTTTTGCGTGTTGGAAACTTTGCAAAACAAAGGGTAGATTCGTACCGTTTTTATTTTGAGTAGTTATTTATTTACGATTGAAGATTTACTTTTTAAAAATGGTAATGTTTTTATGTCACATTATAGCTGACATAATTTCTGTGTGTATTATATTTTGCGAATTAAAAAATGATCGCAAATAAAGCGAAAAAAATATTGTCTTCTCGATTCTATAATATAAAAAAATCTTACCACAACAGGTATGAGAAGCATCCCTCTTTATAATTTTTTTATTTTCAGTAATTTAAATTGTCTATGGAATGTGGAACCAGCTGTTATTGAGAGAGATACCCATTAAGTATTTGAGTTTCGGTCCCAATATCTGGAGTTGGGGTTTGATAGCTGCACTGATTTTGTGAAGATAAATGATCTGAATGGTAAGTGATTTTTTTGTTTTGGTGAATCATTTAAATATAATAATCTGGACATATTTGTTACCCCTTATCATGATTATTTAATCGCATCATCACAATAATTAATTTCGATTGTGATATTCACTAGCTAGTTTGAGCTACTCAGAAAATCCATGTCAAGTTTGTTTAGAGATAAACAGATGTGTATAAGCCAAATGTAAAATAAATAAAATAAAGATCTTTTCAGGAAGTAATCCTATATATCTGACATGTTCCTTTGTATTATGTTTTACTTTAAAGAAATATTTTCAAATGACTTCTTTTGATATTTATTTGCTCTTTCTTGTAAAATGTAAATTTAGCAAAACATTTTACTAGACAAAATAACCAATGGAAATTAAAATTGCATTTAATTTCATATGAAACAATAACTGGTTTATTTTATGATTACGTTTATTAGGATCAATCTATGGATACAATAAGGTATTATATCGCCTTTCGAAAAGGCAACCATGACACATAAAATATTTTTGATTAATTTACGATTTCGACAGAGTATTATTATTTGCAAATATTCAATAAAACCAGAGAGCATTTAAACCAATTTTAAAACAATGTAATCATTCAAAGAAATATATTCTTTATGTATTATTACATGCTGATTAGCTTCTGTAACATATATTCTTTTTTATCTTTAAAGTATAAAAAATCTTGGTATCTAAGTAAAATTGGTTTTTTTTCTTTTATGCCCTCGTAAACAAAGTTTTTGGGATATATAGTTTTTATCCTGTATGTCTGTCTAGCTGTCTGTCTGTATGTTTGTCCCCCAAAACTTTAACTTTGCCCACAACTTTTGAGTGGGTGGGGCTATGATTTTCATATTTTACAAGTGTATTCCTTGTGACCTTTCTTTGGATATCACCAAATTTAACATCTTGGCCTTGACCTTGGAATTTGACCAACTTTAACAAAAAATTACTTTGGAACAGTTGGAGCAATGTCTATCATATTTAACATGTGTATTCATTGTGAGAAGGCCTTTCAGTGGATATAAATATGTTTACCTTTCCACCTTAATCTTGTTTTACCAACTTTTTTAGTTTGAACTTTTTTCTCCTTTTCTATGGAGTTGAAGAGTTCCAGTTCTTGGAGGAACTCTGTGCTGTTTTTAATGTCTATAATATTTGGTGTTGTATGGTGTTCCTTCTAAAACAATTTTGGCTGAAAGAATTAACTAGAATATATGTTCAGGATTTTTGATATATTTTTCTTTGAATCACCAAAAAAACCCATCAGTCGATATCATTTAAAACCCCCTAGTAATACATGCTGATTTTTGTCTATGAACATCTGATGACACTATAATCTTTTATTAAGAATATCTTGAAAAATTATTAGTGGGTAAGGCACGTTGCATTTGTCCTTAAACTTGGCCATAACGTTTGAACAGTTTGAACTAGGGCTTTTATATTTCACAGGTGTATTCTTTAAAGCAAGGCCTTTCTTTGGGTCTAACACATTTGACCTTTTGAATTTGACCTTTGTAGTGCATTTGAGAAAATTTAACTCTCGCCATAAGCTGCCTTAAGGGGACAACAGTGTTTCACATCTTGTTTTTTAAGTAACAAATATTTGAATAATAAAAATGTCAATAACAACAACAACAGCCATGTACTTGCCTGAATGATGTCTTATTCACTTAAGCCCAGTTTATTGCTTCTGTACTGATCAAATAATTCTGAAAATACTACATAGGTTCCTTGATAGATCATATTCTTTAACATTTATTTTGAAGACTTTTGTGAGCAGGAGGAAGACACCATATTGCAGTCTTCATCTCCTATTCAATTGGCTGGCGTAACAGCGAACGTGCGTTTCATAACTGACTTTGGCTATTCTGGTAGCGGATTTGTCTTGGCCTTTTACATTAAAAGTAAGTTGACTTACGATACAAATTTATTTTTTAAGATCACTGAAAGACGTAATGCAAACCGAAAATCTGTTTTTGTTACTTCCATATTCCTAGCTACTTTTGAATCTGTCCGGTCAATATAAACCATATATAGCGGGTATAATTTTTGTGGTTAGGGGAAAAACTAAAAAAAAAATTACAACTTCCTTGAGCCTTGTGAAAAAGGTAATAAGAAATTAATTTGAAAAATGAAAATCACTGTGAAAAGTTATGATGACTAAATGCCATGATTATTAAATACTTCAGACCTAATACTTGATTTAAAATAGTAACAAAGTCACATATTTGTGTAGGGTCAAATTTTGGAGGGTATGGGTTTGTGGTGATTTGATTTCGTAAATAAGAAAACTTTGCGTGGTTATATAAAATGGAATTTTACTTTACATGATGGACTTAAATTCATGGTTCTCGAAAACAACGAAATTAAACTCCTACGAAAATTTGTGATTTCACAGTACACAATGAAATTTTTTTAAAGAGCATATCCTAAGTATTTACAATTTCTAAAACGAGGTAAATTATTGACAAACAAAAATATCAGCTGTCTTGTTTAAAGTATTCATTTTGTAAGTTCTACGGCCGATACACTGTACAATGACCTTTTCAGAAAATACAATTTATTTTTGAGTATTTTTGATAACTGCCGTTTTTCATACTATATTGTTAGTCCATTTTTTTTTACAATGAATTGACGACGGATTATTTCCCGATCATGACAAAGAGCACACGGTGGGTGTGGCATGTCAGCAGGGAATGCTCACTCCTCCATGGTACATGATTCCACCTCTGATATTTTTTAGGTCTGCGTTTGCTTTGCTCCTATTTTGATTTGTTTTATGAACTTTTGAGCTTGATTTTTGTTCAATATTTCCATATATTTCATTAGATATGTGAAACATTGTCCTCTAAGGTAAAAAAAAAACAGGCCATAATAAACTATTTTACCTTTAACGTGTTAGGTAATTGCTGAAAATAATAATTTTCTCGTAGAATTGCATCTAAGCTTAAGAAATAATGCACTATCTCACCCAATTTTAAAAATAATAAGATTTTCAAAGCGGTCACTTGATGGAATATATGGAGATAACGTAAAGTATTTAACCTCATTGGTTAAAACAATACAACTAAGGAGCAGAGCTAACACGGTCCTCTTAAACATTAGCCGTGGGATCAGGTGCCATGGAGGAGTTAGTATTCCCTGCCGACCGGTCAAACTCGTTGTGTTCTCTTTTTAATTATTGGGAAAAAGGGACAAACAAAGACAGTTTATAAATAATGGACAAATAATTACAGTGTATATGAAAACGTAATTCATATTTGTTTTATCTTTATTTATTAGAAAAAGCAATGCCGTATTCTTGTCAGCATGGAGGTACTTGCATTAATTCAACATGTGTATGTTCCCGTGGTTATAAAGGAAGCAGCTGTGAAAACGGTAATTAAGGATATCCCATCCTCAGCCAGGAAGGATAACTCCAAAAATTAATATTTAATTTGAAATGCATCAAAATGAAGCTTGAAAATTAAATTTTTTCACGCAACAATTTTCATTTTATTCGTCTTTATAAGATTAAAGATTTTTGGAAGTCTTACAAAAGGACTTATAAAAGTTGACATTTGTACCCTGTAAAAGGAGAAAAAATAATACAGTTTTAGAGAAATAAAATTTTCGTGAATCCAGCCTTAGACACCAATGCTTATTAACATGATATGAAATGAGAAATGATTTGTGATGTCTTGCAATGATAGCAAAAGCCTTTTACACTATGTCATATAGAATACATTAGGGAAATAGAAGACAAAAATTCCAAATAAGTATAAAAATCATGACAATTTCTCTGAATGTCTGGATATCTATCATTTTTTAACCTAAAATATATTTATTGATCAATATGCAATTAGAAAATGCATAGATGATATTCCAATTCGCTTTTTCTTTCAAAATATTGGAGATTTGACAATTTTCCCTATATAACATGATTAACTTTAATTTTCAACTTTAAAGAAATACTGTGGATAAATTTAAATAACTCTGTGGATTCAGAGATACTTTTATGAGTATTTTTGATTACTTAACTCCTAATTTTATAAACCTGAGGATCGGACTACCATAAATATATCCGTTTTCATACAATTTTGTTTTAATACTGTATACAGGGAAATTTTCGCCCCCGTTTTATTTTCGCCCATTTCGCCCTCTTCTTATTTTTGGTCGAATTTAAAACGGGGCGAATTTAAATTACACAACAGAACTATAACTGGGCGAATTTAATACGGGGCAAAATTGTTTGCAAGTGCAAAAAGGCGAAAATAACACGGGGCGAAAAAAAACGTGTATACGGTAATCAGCCATGATTACTGCCACAAGAAATAAGAAAAAAAAGTCAATTTAAGTATTGTAGTACTTCTCAATAAATAAACCTTTGCTTTGTACAATTCATTATATTTTATTATGATGTAAAAATCATAAGCCAGAAATGATCCTATGACAAAGTGAAAAATTCAATTATTACGTTTCACGTTAATTTTAAAAAACATTGGTGAAAACATGCATAATGCTTGAATTATGACGTACGAGTACTCAGTGTATATTAAGATTATGCATTATAGCATGGCACACAAATCCAGAGGTTCTTGTTTGCCTTTTCTTTTTGAATATAAGTCTTATATTAAAGCTGACATGAACTCTTAAAAAGCCATCATTTTTCATCTTTGTACGACTTACTACATTCCTGTACGCCTTTGTCCGCCATATTTCCTCGATTCCGCCATATTTAATTGAAAATTTTTGGTCACCTGTACCTGCTATATATAGCCTTGTGCGATTGCTTCACTTGAGTGATTTTCTAGCTTGACTGTCGACATGTACACATCTCCGATAACAAAGTTTTTAGAAGTCCATAAACTGACCAAATACATGTTTGAAAAGTAAAAATTCAACAAAAAATAAAACTATACCGAGAATTAATTTTTTTAAATGCATTTGCTGCAATATAGAAAATAAACTAACACGGAATACATACATGTACACCAAACAACCATGCAGGTCGAGAAAACGCATCAAACGCAGTGATAAAAACATTTACCTGACTACTGCTATCGTTACAGGAATGTGCACATGTCGAAAGAATTATCCTATTTTACTTTTATTGAAAAATGCATCTCAGAAGTCATGTAATCCATTGCTAACTCAACAGTAAAAGATGCTTGGACACACGTGGCCCATGTCGATCATTTTATTTGGTCAGGGAAAATATCAAAGGTTGAAAGCTCAGTGGGGTTGATTGAAAAGAAATGCAATTTTTTTCAAAAATAAACATAATTCTTGTCTGTACATGTTGTAAATAAAATTTACGATTAAGTACATGGTTTAACTTCATCAAATTCGTAAAAAAGCAAGCACTATTACGAATCATTCACCTTTTGAAGATATTTTCCCGTGATATGAGGGGGGGGGGGGGGGGGTTATAATAAAACATGCATAACACTCTCATAAAAACAATGCAAGAAAAACTTCTGAAATAGATTGGATTTCTTTATGATCAATTATTATCAAATAAATACTGTGTATTGGCTTTATTAGACCTAATATAATTTGATTTAAAGTTATTTATAATTTTATGCACTATGAAAGAAAAAGTGCCCCACGCTCCCCCAAAAGTCGAAGTGCTGAAATTCCCAGAAAAAAATAAAGGAATCGTAATTTCCTTGTAATAATCACATCTATACACATTGTGCTAAATATCTGCAAAGTTTGACGAAATTGTGTGCAGCGGTTTATGTATGAGAGGTTGTGCTGACAAACTGCTCACCTCTATATTCAAGATATGGCCAAAATCTAAATGTAAAAGTGCTGAAATTCCCGAAAAATAAAGAATTCGGAATTTCCTGGTGATGTGCAAATCTACACACACATTGTCTCCTATAAATATCTGCAAAGTTCGACAAAACTCTGTACAGTGGTTTATGAGAAGTTGCGCTGACTAAAAAAAAAAAAAAAAAAAAAAAAGACTGACTGACTGACGAGTCAAAAACATTATACCTCACGCGTGGCGTATAATAAACGAGTTTGATTTTTTGGTACAATGATAATGGAAATAGAATTTAATGTGAATTAAATTTCTAGTCATAAATAATTAATGATTATAAGAAAAAACATAAAGGAAGAAAGAGTAAACTCCTCGTGAGAATTCCACATTCTACCTAAAACTAGCTTTTTAAAAATTCTCTTGTCTGTTGTCCAAGTTCGACACATACGTTTGAGAAGGTATTCGAGAAAGTTCCCAATGTCCCCATTCCTGTGATGTATATTTCACGTTAATTATATCCCCCGCCTGAAAAGTGGGAGGTTATATAGTAATCGTTATGTCCGTTCGTCTGTCTGTTACGCTTTGGGGTACCCACCTCTTATCCGCAAATCCTCTTATACCACTTAGAGAAATTTAATGAAACTTTCAAAGAATCTTAAGTTTATTACATATTACCATTATGCACCTCCTATTTTACTTTTTGGTCTGACACGTATGGGTTTAGCGAAATATGGACTTTGCCATTATAACCATATGGGAGGCGGGGTATGAGCTCATTGCTCATAATACATGTACGTCTAGTTTCTCTTTCAATTTGGGCGTTTGGATTGATTTCCTGTCCAAAGTAAAATTATTATTCAATTTATGAAGTTTCGACATCCCGCCTGAACAAAATCATTGATCTGTGCTAAGGCATAATAAATGGTACGGCACAAAGTGCGTAGGATTTAATACCTATCATTGCCAAAACGGGTGGTTACAGAGAGAGAGAGAGAGAGAGAGAGAGAGAGAGAGAGAGAGAGAGAGAGAGAGAGAGAGAGTTCAATATACAAAAGAATAAATAATAATTATCCGTATTCAACCAGTGTCAAGTATCTCTACCCTAGCTTTTAAAATTATCTCCCAAATTCACCTACAAACATTATTTATATATATAAAAAAAATACCTAGACTATCAGGCAGGGATACTGAAATCTCGAAATACTTCCTGTAACAACATAATTATAAAACAGTTACATTCCTAAAAATGCACATACTTTGTGGTTGGAGTGACACATTTTAAAAAAAATATCAAAACTGAATTTGGCAGAAATGTCTGTATTTCAAGAATATTTAAATAACGGTCATGTCAATCATTTTTGTATGCCCCCCCCCCCCCGTCCAAAAAATGAAATGCCTAAATGTCAATCTGAACAGGGGATGGCCTTTCTCCGCGTGTGTATGTGTTAAAGAACGTATAGATGTACACATAAAAATTTGTATTCTGATTAATTGCTTTTAAGATTTGAAGTAAATAAATTATTGCCGTAAATCAAATTACTTGGTTTAGGTTTGAGGTTAGTACTAAAATAATCAGTTATAATTGACAAATGAATTTTGCGACGCAAACCAACTGCAGACTATATACATGACTTTGAATAGAAAGTACATTAAGAACTACATGTAGATAAACAATTCACAATTATAGCTTATGAACATCATTTATAATATCCCCACCCCCCTTTCAGCCGCGCAAATACCAAATAACTTCTCTTTCCACTTTTGATATTTTCCCTAACCAAAATCTGATCAGCACGGACTAAGTGTATCGTCGTGCTAGTGTGTACGGAGTAATGACAGTGTGTTTACTATTGAGCTTTTATGGAGTTTATTTCTTTTTTGTGATGCATATTTCAATAAATGGAATTCAGGGTGTATATCACTTGACTTGTGCACACTTTCGAACCGATGCAGTAACCTTATTACCAGGTATAGGTACGTTTACAGCGTTCGAGGCGTTTTCTCGATATGCATCAATTGCATAGGACCTGCATATCAAAGACGTTGGTTGTTTTGTTCCATTCTAATGATATAATTTCAAAATGTGTTAGCAAATTTTACTGCTTTTTATTTGAAGTTTATTCTGCATAAATAGGCGCACTGTAACAATACGTTCTCATGCATCTAAATTTCTCTTCCAAACTTGCATTTTTTCTTTTGATTCAAATCAATAATCATTCAAAAATATGATTATTATGTTGTTTATTTTGTTTTTGAAATGTCTTGATCACCTCATATGTTCTCATATGCTTCACCATCGGAGATGTGCACAAGTCGATACCCAATCCAAAAAATCATTCAAGTGTAACGAGCGCATTGGGGTATACATCGTTACAATGAGACAAGGTATCTGAAAGAAATATGGCGGAATACGGCTATAGTTGGTATGAAACAAGTCGTACATAGATGAAAATGTTACGTTTTTAAGAATTCATGTCAGCTTTAAGATGTAGTCTTTCGCATAAACTACAAATTTGCTAACCTGGCGTTAAAGATTCGTTTTGAGTCTTGAATTAATTACGATGATTTTTTTTAACAAATGATATTATCCATATAACAAGTAATTATCTTTGCGGTAGAATAGTTTTTATGTCCAATAGACGCGCGTAAGCATTTCTTGTGCCGTGGACTTTGGGAAAGAAATCCACAAAGGGATTTCGATACTACTAGCTATAGGCTACTGGGACAGTTAAAAAAATGTTTTTACATCGGTGAAAAACAATTGAAACATATTTCCAAGGTGTGTAGCATGACGTTGCAAAATGTAGAGCAATTCATATCCAGAAGTATATGTATAATAAGAACACTACCCGGAGTATATTTCTTAACTTGAAAAGTTGAAAACTCCTGGAGTAAATTTATTAACTTGTGTTCCTAGAGTACACATTTACAAAATTAGAGACCCATAGGCCTCAACGGTAACTTTAGCCAATATGGTCTTTTTATTTAACATTTTGCAAAAGTTCTTTCATTAGTTTCCGATCATGACAAGGAGCGCGCGGTCATCTCTGACGAATAATTCTTTTTCATTCACAGAATCTTTAGAAATTCTGTACTTAAGAAGTAGCAAGGCAGTGTTCCGTGAAGGAAATGAAGTATTGTTTGAATCGGAGATAACAGACAACTCAAACTTTACTGTCCAATGGTCTCGCGATGGAGTTATAATAAGTGGTATTTTGTCAAGATACTCTATCACTTCTTCTGCAAAGGCCAATGGTACATTTCTACATCAGCTAAGGATATCAAGTGTTTATGAAAGGGATGAAGGTATAGTTACAATAATTCAGTTTTTCGTTTTGAGAGAAAAGGAGAGACGAAAATCTGTTTTAGAACTTTATGTAAAAGCATTGAAGTTCGAATGTATTGATTTTTTTAAAGGAAATTGGAGTATAATGGCTTCCAACGGGGTGACAGTGGTGAACAAGGGTATCATCATACGAGGTGAGAATAAAGAAAAGGAAAGGATATTTTGTCAAAGCCATATTTTCTTTCAATATGAAAAACAATTTCGAAAGAAATACTTTGACTTTTATAAAGAAAATTAAGTTAAATTTATCTTTTTTTGTTGCCATATACTGCTTCCATTTTCTGTTTTTTGACAAATAAATTCAACAAGATGGAATTGTATCCCTTTTAATTCAATACATTTTTGATTCTATGAAGTTCACTTTCTCTATTGTTTTTGTTTTCCGTGATCTATTATCACTTTTTACCCGGACATGACAAAGGACAGATGCAAATGTGACAGGGAATGGTTACTCCTCCATTGCATCCTATCCCTCTTCTGATGTTTTCAGAGTTGCCTCTTTGATATGCTGATTAACTGTCTTTTGAACATGATAACTGTTCATTAACGTCATATTTATCACCTAACCTCAACATTTAATGAATTTTACAAGTTTATTTTTTGTTTAGTGCTACCAAAACTGGTGCTGCTGATGATACCACAATATGATCTCTCAATTGAAACCAAAGAAAATTTCACCCTTCAATGTGTTGTGGTGAACCCTGGATCCCTGATTAATTTGACAAGTGGAAGTCTTATCTGGGTAAAAGATGGGAAGCCTTTATTGACAGGTTATTTTTACCAATTTTTAAAAAAAGATTAAACATGACAAATATATAAATAGATGCAACTCTAAAAAAGATCAAGGATCTTTTTTTCTCATTTGTCCTTATTTTCTTATAGTGTGCATGGACATTTTCAAATTGATATATCTTTTCCTAATATGAGATTTTACATCATTGCAATATTGCTTTTTTTATATTACCTAAAATGTTTAGGTTCTATATTCACCATTAGTACAACACAAACTTCGACAATTTTAAATAAAGCCTCAGCAGAGATCAGTGATTCTGGAAATTATTTTTGTTTACATTCCACCTACCCTGACCCATTAAATGTTTCCATTTACGTAAATATCATAGGACCAGGTTTGTTATTTATATATTATGAAATTTAGAAATACTGTGTATTCAGAAAATATTCTTTTTGTCATAATGACGTAGACAGATTTAATCTTTACAATAGTAAATCTTGAATTTCATTTCTATTTGTCGATAAGAAAATATGTCTTTATTTAAGAAATAAGGTATCATTTTTTGAGTTTTATTGGGATGTAAAACGGGTTGGCACATAATCAAATCTTCCATAAAACCCTTCGGGCTTTATGGAAGATTATGTGCCAACCCGTTTCGGGCTTTATGGAAGATTTGATTATGTGCCAACCCGTTTTACATCCCAATAAAACTCAAAAAATGATACCTTATTTCTTATATTTGCATTTGTGAGTGATTTATTACAAATAGTAACGTACTTAACAAATTAAGTTTGAAAACCATAACGTTTTCTTTTTCAAAATTCAACGGTATAAATTGAATGTGTTTATAACGTCGATCGCTTATGACGTCACTATCAAACTACGTTGATCAATTATGACTAAACAATCGATTTTTGGTCACATAACGGACTTGTTTTACGGAGATGTAAAAACGCCTTGTTTAAATAGTGTTATATAAGGGAAAACATTTGCAAATGTAAAAATAAAAAAAAAAAAACAATTTTATTTGTTACAATATATAACAAGAATAAGATTACAAGAAACAGCATTTGGATTGTATGAAAAGGCACGGATCTGTCTCTGTTTAATTTTAGGATATTTTAAAATTGAAAATAAGGAATCCTAAACTTTTTTTTTAAATTTACAGAATCTGTGGAGATACTATTGTTCAGAATTAGTGATTCAATATCACGAGAGGGGAAATCTGTTTGGCTTGAAACAGAGATATATGAAATAATCGACCTTACTGTTCAGTGGTTTCACAATGGGAACTTGATAACCAACTCTTCATTGAGATATGAAATAAAATCATATACAACCGAAAATGACACATTACGCAATGTGCTCAACGTACCAAATGTTCTACAACAGGATGATGGTACCTAGAATAAAATTTCTTAAATGGGAACAAAAGAGGGCTTACGAGGGCTGTTCAATAAATAATGTCCTCGGTGCGCGAAAAGAAGCAAAAGACGCTTTTCAATGATTTAGTCTTAATGATTTAACTTAATATTCTCTTTTAATTAAAACACATTTCCGTAAATATTTTTATCCAATTTCTGATTGTTTTTAGAACTCATTTTTGGGTATGACCCTTAGTATACTGAAAAATGGAAGATGTTATGGTTTCCTGGACTCGTTTCTTTCTTCTGTAAGGTATTTTTTCAAGTTTGGAAAATGAAATAAGTCAAAAGGCGAAAGATCTGGCGAATATTGTTAATGTAAAAAAAAATTAATAACTTTCTGTTTATCCCGAAAACTCCTTTACTCTTCATGGCGTGCGGATTTGGACGCTGACAGGAAGAAATTTAATGTAGTGGATTCCTGATTCTGGTTCTTTCCTCTTATTAACCTTTCGATTTTTTAGCAAAAAATTTGCTTCGTAGACTCTTCCAGAAATTAAACTGCCGCCCCGAATAAGAAATTGAACAACAAGACCACTTATATTTAAGAAAATTGCATATAAATCTGTCTTTGTGCTCTTGCAATTCTTTGCTCTTTTCAGACCTTTGCTGTTTTTGTTAAGTTCTTCTTATTGTAATTTTTATTTCCAGAGTTTTAAGCAATTGATTCAAGTTTCATTATCTGTTTGAATTTCAAATAAATGCGGAAAACTTCAATTACTGATATTTTAAAATAGTTGTTTAGATATTCTTACACGCTGTCGTTTACACAAATTTTTCAAAGCATAGGGTAACTTTTGAGAACTAAGTTTTTTTACTGTCAAACGTATCTTTAAAACTGTGTGAACTACTCCCGAAATGATGTCTATCAAATTTGACAAATTTTCTGTGTGTCTTAAAGTCAATTATACAACATTAGTAATTATTTGTTGAAATTTGTCAAACAGTACATAAGTTGTTATATTTTTTGTTGGCAAGGACGGTACCCATTTTTGATGCCCAATATTTAATTTTTTATCATTGAAATCCACCTGCTCATTTGTCCATAAAACAGACATTGGTTGCCGTAGATGTTACATATTTCAATGAATATATCTTTGGGATTCTTAACGAGTTTTACAGCACCATTAATGAAGCGTTTAATTTCACTCTAGTATACTGATTCTTTACCATTCATTTTTAATACAGTGTCTCGAATAGCTCTTGTTTTCCAGCTTCTCACAATGAAACTATGTGATGAAAAGTGGACACATAAGCTGTTATAAATTCATTAAAGTTCAATAATGCGAAAAAGTCAACCTTAATGTCATATGATGTCTGTATTTTATGTCATACAGTTCAGTACATTATTTATTGAACACCCCTCGTATTTAACTTTTCTGAATTATAATGTTGATTTTTAAGATGAATGTTTTATATCTCATTTAGGAGATTGGAATATCACGGCATCAAATGGTAAAACAACAGAAAGTATGAGTGTTTACTTACGAGGTGAGGAAAAATAATAAAAAGAATGCGTTTGTCATTTCTAGGTCAAATGTTTAATTTCTTACCATTTGGAAAAACGAATACCATTGATGGGTTTTCCCTCGATCGGAACAATAATCAGTTATGCTCAGATACATGTATAAGAATACAATATTTGCAGACAATTTTTTACATGGTGGATGGGGTCGGTTGGGTTAAGGGGTTGGTAGGTATGTGAAAAAGAATAATAAAAAAAAATTCCTTATACCCGGTATAAGAAATATTTTCCTTTTCATGATATCTCGGTATAAGTGCATTAGATACAATAATCTTATATGCTAGTTTCCTTTAAATGAAAAATTTAATCCCATATTTATTGATCAATTGGTTAAAAAAAATTCTTTACGATTTTTTCTTTTGTAAAGTACTTCCAAGGCTTGTGCTGCAGATGATGCCTCCAAATAATATTTCAGTTGAAAGCAAGAAATCGATAAACCTTTCATGCGTTGTTACCAATCCTGAATCCTTATTTAATTTGTCTGGCGGTGGTTTATTCTGGCAAAAAGACGGCAAGAAAATATCACCAGGTATCAATTTTGCCTTTTTAAAAATAAAATTAAAATGGCCTTTTTCCTAATTTGGAAATATTAAGCTGTTTGAAATAAACAAAAATAGAGAAATGTTTTACATCTTTGTTAATTTTTTTTCAACATGTTATTTTAGTTATTGATAATATATATAGTATAATTGATATTATACTTTCTGCAAGGCAGTTTGATGTTTTGTAGATTCTGGATTCAATATAACTACAACAGACACATCCACAACTTTAATGAAGTCATCAGCAGAAGTTGACGATTCCGGAACTTACTTGTGTGCTCACTCTTCCTATCCGGAACCTATTTATGTCTCCATCTATATAAATATCACGGAACCAAGTACTTCAGATATTTTTGTTATACCTCTTTTGATTTTCGCCTATATAAAAATTAAATAGTAAAATGTGAATAATTTAATCCTAGAAATTAATGTGAATGGACTAATCCCCGTGCGTTAGTCAAACAAGCTAATCCCTGCTTCGGAAGCTAGTTCCCGGTTATCCTCAATCCTCTAGATTTTACTTTCGTATCAGTATGATATGTTATTGGACAAATCCCCGAGCGTTAGTCAAGTGAGCTAATCCCCGCTCGGAAAGCTTATTCCCCGTCATTGGTAATCCTCTACAAGGTCATTGTATCGACCATTGAACTTACGAAATGATGACTTTAAACAGGATATTCTTGTTTCATCAGCTTACATGTCAATAATTTACCTCGTTTTAGAAATTGTTCATTCGTAGAACAAGCTCTTGCGTATCGAATCAGCTGAGATATATACTACATTCCGTACACGCAGGTGATGAAGGTATATTGCTGCAAAAGTAAGGGAAGTTGACAATAGCAAAGTTAAAGTCATCACGTTTATCATATAGCTTGGTTGTTAGATTACCATTAACGTCTTTTTCAAGTAAAATATCCAAGTATGAAACAGATGTGTCAGACTCTGTGGTATCTTTTATCTCAAGCTCACCAGGATGTATCGTATCGACGTAGGAATGGAAATTACCATCGTTAATTGACAATTCGTCGTCGATATATCTAAATGTCGGGTTGAAGGCCACGTCAAGTATTTTCTTCTTTCCACACATAAGATTTTGCACAAATTCTGCTACATATGAATATAAAAATAGGCCCGCTAATAACGGGGCGCAATTGGTACCCATGGGAATTCCTATAGATTGTTGTAATACCCGGTCTCCAAAAACCACACAGATATTTTCAATCAGAAACTCAAGCATCTCTTTGATGTCAACTTCAGAGTACTTGTGTGTGCAATCAGAATGTGTTTTAACAAAATAATTTTGCAAATGACCAATGAGCAGGTAAGTAAATTTACGAGTTCCATTTTTATTAAAAAAGCAGCTGTCAATAATATTAAAAAGCCTGGACTTTAACTTATCGGGAAGAATGGTTGTGTATTACGTTGAAAAGTCGTCAGTTTTTAAGCTGTTGATTTTGGTAAATTGTCCCAATTGAAAGTTCTTTGGAATTTTTGAGTATCCACATCTGATTCACATTACTTCTTAAATATATTGTTGCTCAGTACTCTTGAAGTTTTTTCTTCACTTTTGTCATTATCTTAGTGAGGAGTCACGAAAGAGGCTTGGCTGAACATTTACTGGAACCCGCAATGTATCTGTTTGTAAGGATTTTTATGAAATTTCGGAATCCAATATATATAGATATGGTAGTTCAAATTCCTTTTGGATCTATGGAATATTCAAAATATTTAAAACTGACATTTGATTTTGAAGAATTTCTTCCTTAGAAAGGGAAGTATGAGTATAAGTAGGATTACCACCGGTAGAGTTAAATCCAAGTTCTTCTAAAACACAATTTATATAATGAGCCTTACAAACGAAGACAATGTTGTTACCTGCTTTGTCGGCAGGGAACGGTACGTACTGATCATGTAATCAATCTAATTCTTTCAATACGCGACTTTAACATTGATCTAATTAAAAATTCAATCCATTCTGACTAGGTGTCAACGTCTTCTTTTTCATATCTGGCCCATCGTCTGGCGTAATTTTCAACGGAATCCATAATACTTATGAAATTCTGACTCAAGTTGAAAGATCGGGGTTCTCTATATTTAGGAACTTCTAAAATAAGTGATCTAAGGTCCTCATTATTAACTATATTTACGTCACCTCTAATAACGTGTCCAGCAGGACTATAGTTATAGGGCGAAGAAGAACATGAACATGATGGATGACTATGTTTCAGATACTCAGAATCCAGGCCATGTAAAGTTTTTTTTTGTAAAGTTTGGAAGCAATGGTCGATGTGGATTTGTAGGAAATACAAGGCGTAGTCTTTAACTTAAAATATGGTGGAATACAAGACTGGACCCTTTAGTGATTAAGAATATTACTCATATTAACTGCGTCAATTCCCTTATTGGCATACTGAAATTTAAGGAAAAGACGGATTGTTTTAGCTGCATTTTCTTCCGTAAAACGTGCGGGTTAAAAAGTCTATGATATGCAATATCCATAATCACAGATCCGAGCCTTTATTCTGGTGACGAGGAATCAAAAATTGGACATTCTTTGGCCTTTTCAAGAAGACTATTTAAAAGTTTCAAAAGGACAGAGTAAAGTTTTGTGCGAATATGCTGTAGACCTAACTGCTGATTTACATAAGGTAGTAATGAATGAAAAGCGACGTCGTGTATTGCAGGTTTATTGTACGAACGATCTTTAATAAAAGATCTTTTGTTTTTATTATACTCAGGTTCTTTTGTCTTCTTTAATGCAAACTTGCATATCATCATGACTCGGCAGGTTCCTATCCCCCACTTCCCGTACTGCCCATCCTTTGTTCGTGTTTACTATACCCCTTTTCTTTGTCTTATTCCACACCCGAACAAGTTTCTTAGCAACATATCACACCCCACATCACGTGGTCTATGTTACGAGCACCCGTTGCCTAGAAATACATCATTTTCGGATCTCTAAGGACCCTCTGACGTCACTTACAGGATCTCTAAAAACCCTCTGACGTCACCTCCAGTGGAACTATATAGCTACCCATGCAGCAAGCTTTGTTGCTAGATAACGATAAACGTCTTTTACTGGTTTAATTTCAGATATAAAGATTTAAAACAGATGTGTCAGACTGGCACTATTTGGTATCTTTTATTTCAAGCTCACGGGATATGTCGTGTCGACATTAGAATGGAAATAACAAATATGAATTAGTTATTTCGTCGTCAATACATCTAAATGTCGAGTTGAAGGCCGCAGCAAGTGTTTTCTACTTTTCACGTTAAAATTATTCAACAAAGTCGGCTCCATAACAATATTTAGATTTAAGGAAAAATTCTCTAATGTCATAAAATTAGAGTTCCTCTGTGTGAATTGTCTAAAGGTTCATTACTCGTATTGGCACAAGTTGGCTGTTCAAATGCACGAGCTTGCGACTGCATTTGAACAGCCAAAGAGTACCGATATTCACTAATATAAGTTCAATAACTCCTTTATTATATAGCTAAAACATTTCCACATAATTTGTAATAATTATTTCAATTAAAAACAGAGACAAATTTTTTTTTAATACCGATATTCAAATTTACGTCTGTCCTGTAATCATTCCGATGACCCTACCGAGCGATATGATTTAGGTTTTAAAGGGTCTAATACGTACTAAATCTTTAATAAATAATTTCAATTTGTGTGAAAAATAAATACATCTTACCTAAATGACACTTCATTTCATTAAAAATTATTTAGCTCTGAGAATTTGACCAGACGACTTATTTTGTTTACAACGCGGCGTTCGATATTGAACGCTCGTATTCGGAATGTTTCGGGCATATTCGTATACGTAATACAAAGTCAGCGTTCAATAAAACGTCAAGATATTGAACACTAAAATTCTCTAAATTTTTGGTAGTATTTTATTAGAGACTATTTATCAGCTATATAATAATAGTGGTTATTGCACGCATAGTTGTGCAAAAAGACACTCATTTTTGTTGCTTTCTTCAAGTTTCTCTTGCCCAGGTTTGGATCATAAAAAGTTGATCTTACTTTTTTACTTTTACCGATTTCTTTCTTAAGGTTTTTTCACCCTCACAATTTCAATGGTTCAAAGTACAACAACTGCATTTATTTTCATTTATTATAGTTAAAATTTACCAATTATCGCAAAAAAAATTATAGATCACCATATTATTTAAGACGGGAGACATAGATGAACGGACGTGTATGTTAACATGAAAAAATCGTCTATTTTTTGAAAATATTACTGGAAATATTCTGTAAAAACTGGTTCAAATGCATAATTCTGATACTAAGAGCTCCAAAATACTTGCTACTTACATGTATAAGAAAATTTTGAAATGCGAATACCTAAGAAACTATTTTACATTAAAAGTATAATAAGGAAAATGTCATAATGAAAATATCTGAGAAGGAGTAACTACCCTTTTCACATTTTTTTAAAGATTGAATAATTGATCTAATAATGAAAATATACATTTTTAAAGTGCTTTTGCTGAACAATATTTATCATTACACCTATTGAAAGCATTCTTTCAACAAACTTTGTTTTAGTGGGTATGAATTTAAATTAATGACAGTTTTTGCAAAACCCTTTGACATGAATGGAGGATGGAATTACCTTCAGGCCAAATTCAACTTTCATAGCTCAAATCGTCAGAATTGCCCAAAGACCCAATTTTTGTCAGCGTATCAGTGTTTTAGTTAATTAACTTTCCACTGAACCATAGGATCGTATGAGAAGAACTAATATCGTTTTAGATGAAATTACTTTTATTATACACACGTACTTTTTCTAACCTTAAGCTGATAGTATAGACTACAATAAATTTAATTCACGGATTATTCTCACATCGAATCATCTTACTAATATATGTGTTCTTTGTTTAGTTCAGCCAGGGTTTTCGCTACAGATGATACCCCTCGGCGACTTTTCACTTAAATGCAAGGAAGACATCAACCTACGATGCACTGTCAAATATTCCAAGTTTCTGATCAGTTTAATTGGGGGAAGTTTTATTGGGCAGAAGAATGGAAAGAAAATTTTATCTGGTATTGAATGAAAATTGTCTAGAGTTTTGTTTTACTCTTTTTAAAATAAGAAACTAATCTATCATATAAAACATGCCGAGGTAATATTTGACAGAATATAATGTAAAATTTTTATGTAAAGAGGAAAATGTTTACTTATGTTGCATTTAATTTTGATTACATGTAATGAGTTACATGTAACAACATTTCGATTTGTTCTTCTCTGAATCCTTATTGAAAGCCTTATTAAGGCTTCTTTCAGAATGTTCACATTGTTCCTGACTCTCACTCAAAATAAAAAAAAACCTTTCAATGGACTTGATTACTGTTTGTTGTTTCCATATTTAATATTAAAAGGAATGCTCTTGTTTTTTTTTAAAAATATAAACATAGGAAGCACCAAAAGTCTTTGTTATGTAAATCCATTATTACAGTTGAAAATTAAGCATCGATACCAATATTTAAGTAGCTTTATGAACCCCCTCAATTTATCTTAATCCTGCTAAAGGCAATATAATACACATAGTAACATACATAATGATAGCCTTTAAAAGGGTGATTAATAATAAATTAATGAAAACATAGTATTGTGGACGAATGAACAATTTTCATCACTGTTTCTCTTAGGTTCTGGGTACAATGTGACCTCGGGAAAGATGTTCACAACTCTGAGGAAACCCTCAGCGGTGCTGGAAGATTCTGGAACTTACGCATGCTCACACACAGCTTCTCCGGAATCAGTGCAGGTGACCGTTTATGTTAATGTCACTAACTCAGGTGAGTGTTGTAAAATTTTGAGCATGATTAAGTACGTCACTGTGTACGAAGTCTGCTGACCGAATATCATTGTTCCACTAAATGCGGTGTTCATTTTCTTAAATATTAGAATGATAATTATGATAATTAATAATTGTTTATCTTTTTTTATTTCATTGTAGTTTAATATTTCTAGCTGTAAAGAATCCACTTTTTACATGTTGATGTACATGATTGCAGATAAGACTTGCACAGGTGCCTGGGTGGTGAAATAGGGAATGTAAAATGCTATCTCGAACTATCTTAAAGATAAAATCAAGTTGGACAGAGAGATAAGAAAGAAGGCAGAAGAAGGAAAACTAGATATAGAGAAAAGAAAGCAGGAAACGGAAATGTTCAAAATAGAAAAGGAGGAAAGTATTGAATTGCTAAAACTGCTGACACTGTTAATCAAAGATCAAAGAGACAAGTTACTCAAATTATTATCGTCATGGCCAGAAACCATCGTAATTCCGTAAATCACTGAACATTGAATCCTGTATGAAATTTATAAGATAACTAACTTCAACAATATTTTCAGATATCATTGCTATGTGTCTTCATTATAGAACTTGATGTTCTATTAAATTGTAAAGCTTTTCTACTAAAGTGTTGTTTAAAGTTATCATTTTGCAAATATTAAACAAAGAAATGCAGTCAGTTTAAAAGTAAGAGGGCTTAGATTAAAGTATGTACGTGTGTCTTAAAGAAAAGGTGATTGGTTCCTGATCAGTTGGTAAATGTTCATTCGCGAATGCATTGATCTACGCAATACTAGTTGTTTATCTCTCTCTCAGGACCTGGTTGTGCTGAATGGATACGACGAAGGCCCAAAAGTTGGGAAAAGAAGCTAAATCCTGGGAGGCCTAAAGTCCATTTGAGATTCTCTTGCACTCTTTTTTGTTGATCACTCGCTATATGTTGAATTTTAGTTGTAACACGGCTTTTGATTGGTAAAAAGATTTAGTTTATATCATATAACATGAGTTGCCCACGTCACAATGAGTTACGTCAAAAACGTATTACTCCGCTTGACGTCAGTATATCGTATAACAGAGGTCAAAATGAGCTTCAATCGTTATGTAGATTGAAGCATTTGAAAATATGTTACGTAATCACCTCCATCGTAACGACTATCATTCAACGTGTTTACTTGTTTATTTGAAAGATGCTTTTTAATGCTAAATATGAGCCAGAATGGTAGAAAAATATATAAATTCAATGAAAACAAGCTAATTCAGAGAATTTGTGTCCCCCGCTTAATGAAAATTAAACCATGCGCAGTTCGGGGGTCGGGGGGGGGGGGGGGTGTCGGATTTAATACATACTGAAGCAAATAAAATATGCCAATATGGATATAAAGGTTTGATTGATTATTCTTTATAATATGTGTAGAAGATTCTTTTTATATGGAATATTTATCATACTGTAATGATGATTTCATGAGTTTTTACAAGCTAGACCTCATAAATTTTACATTTCACATGCTGAATACTATCATTTAGTAAAAAAAAGTATTTCGGAAAAAAAAAGAATATGGATCGTCCGGGAATCGAACCCGGGACCTCTCACATGTGAAGCGGGAGACATAGCACTGCGCCTCGGAACTGCTGTACGTTAGTGAAAATTATATGCAAACATGAAGTCACAAACATGTATATATTCACGTTTGATATTGTCAAAATTTTACACAATACATGGTGTCTTATTTGACCTTTACTAAACACGTTACGCGCGGTGTTAGTGCCATTTTTCAATTTTAGAATATGACCTATTAAACTCATCGGTGATTTTTAAAATATACTCGCAATATAGATGATTTTGGTATGTATGGATAGGGTTTAAATAGGACTACTTGATTCTAGTAAGAAAATGACATTTAGATAGTTTTTATGCAAAAAATAGAATTTTAAAGCGCAAATAAAAGGTATTTTAAGCGTGTAACGCGTTACATTTTTTAGCAGGGATCATGCATTTTTCGTGTGTAGCGCGTTCAAAAGTGAATCTAGAATTTTCATTTTCCTTTCAAAACTAGAGTAATCCATTTCGGTTGTGGCTGTATTAACGATTTTGCATTAAATGTTCAAGGCCGTAACTAGGCTCAAATTTTTAGTGAGACAAGGGTGCTGGGCACTAGTCCCAGACGGAGCAACTGTAGTACCTGATGGTCAGTGACGGGGGTTTCCAGGGGGAGGGAGGGGGATCCTGAAACTTGGGTACATAAAAGATTTAATCTTAGAAATACGTTTGGAATTGTCGACCGAATGGCACAGTGGTTAGAGCGAACGCTCTAAAGTCGCAGAATAAGGAGTTGATCCTTACATCGCGAGTTCGAATCCCACTGCGGGATAGTTCGGTCCTTCGGATGAGATTAAAAACCGAGGTCCTACGTCCCAGTAAGTGATGGCACAAAAAATATCTCACTGTTTCATCATCTTCAGTGACCCTGAAAGCCTAGTGCAGATTTAAAACTTGAGCCCTTTATCGACAAGGAGTGATGTCTCCATATGAATGAAAAAAGCTTGGAAGGGATGTTAAACAATCAAACAATTTACAAAACATATTTTTCTAATATTTTACATTCGTTCTAAATGACAATGAGGCACCGGGTGAGATGAACGATTTACATATATTGAAAAAAAAAATTGAAAACATTAATTTAGTACGAAGACACACATAATTTATAAGTTCACTGTAAAACTTTTTCACTTTTCAAAAAAAAAAAAAAAAAAAAAAAATCTAAACATTTAGTGAGGCATTTGCCTCACTTGCCTCAATGGTAGTTACGGCCTTGATGTTGGCAAGAAATAGAGAGCGATAGTTTTTACAGATGAAGTATCTGTAACGCTTTTAATTAAAAACGTGCATATCAATATAGACAATAAATTTACTCAATTACAAGAAACTTTAAAAAGAAACAATTTATATCAAAATAATGTGCTTTTCATATAGATTTTAAATATTTCATTGATTTTGATATCAAACTGCATCCTTTGGAGCTATTAATTGGACTATAAGTTCAACAGAAATGTCCAGCGTCTAAAATGACGTGCAAAAATAAGACAATGCCTATTTCCGAGTTGTTGAATTTTGTTCTTCCCATCAACTACAGAAATAATAGAATGTTCATAATGCGCTGCTCTAAACGGCCAGATTGAATGTCAGAATTATATATTTACTTCATTAATTAATTTTTTACGCAACATTTAGAAGGTTCAACATATTTGTCCAGTGGACGTTTTTAACGCGTAAAATTCGTTTTGCTTCAACGTAATGTATAAAAAAGCGTTAAAGAGTGCTTCGAGTAATTAACAAAATTTATCATATATGTATACAAATCCCAGCGCCTTATATGTTCATAAGTTTAAATGTTAGTAGCTATGACTTTTTAAACTCGTATTTCAAGTACAAAGAGGAAGCGATAGGGTACCAGTCAAGCAAGTAACACTATTAGAAGCATTACGTCAATTTTTCTGTAGCGCTATTAAAGCGTAACGTCAAACGTCACCAACATCGCGCGTAAAGTCTAAACAGTTCTAATAGATGTGATAAGAATATAAATTCCGCCGAGAACAAGTTTTAAACGCAATAACTCTCCTCATGCCCCTGTGCTAAAAATAGCGACATGTAATGCTATAAATACTAATAAAACAAACGGGGCGGGGCACTTTGACAGGGGTGAGAGAGGTCCTAGGGAGTTTTGGTTTAAAATACATTGCATAAGCTCAAAATCTTCTTGAAATATCGCCCGGAAATGATAGTGTTACACACAGACAGAATGTATAAATTTACGACCTTGAACTTTAACTTTTTGACCTCAAAATCAATAAGGGTCTTCATTAGGCCACAGGGAGTTGTTATGTAAAATTTCATTGCAATATCTCAAATGGTTCTAGAGATATCGTGTGGAAACGAAAGTGTTATAACAGACAGAATTTGCTTTTTTATTACCTTGACCTTTGACCTTTTGACCTCAAAATCAATAGGGGTCTTCTTTAGTCCATAGGAAGATGCTATGCTAAATTTCATTTCAAAAGCTCCAAGGGTTCTCGAGATATCGTGTGGAAACGAAAGTGTTACAGACAGACAGAAAGACGGACGGACGGACAAACCCGAATTAATATCCCCCACTTTTCAAGCGGGGGACAACAATGTCGAAGGGGCACTTTTTCTTGAGAGCTAATTGCATTTAACATATCCATAGCTTTAAAAAAATTATTATTAAAAAAACTAGAGATACTATGAGTAATGAGCTCACTAAATAAATTCACTAATTCACGAATTGAATTGCACTAGTTCACCGATTGAAAAAAAAAAGCATTAGTGTTCTTACCACTTAAAAGCCTCAAAGACTGAAATGATATTCAAAACTTTTAAATATTATTATATAATTTAGGACTGCGCCTGAGCGATATGTCTTCTACCCATAAAATTGACATAACGGCATCATAAACATCTGCTTCCTCAATAAAAATGGAACTCATAAATTTTCATATTTTGCAATAGGCCCGCTACAAAATTACTTCTGGGTACAATGTCCCTGAGGCTGACGTTAAAAAATGTTATAATTCCTCATTGATATATCCTATATAGTCAAGGCTTTGGAAATATGGTGGATTCTGAAAGGGCACTAATCGGTATGCCATCATTAGCAGACATATTTTTATGTTCCCATGAAGAAAATTTTCGTTAGAAAATTCATAAAAAAAAAAAATCTTTTCCTGTGTCGATTCCCTGTGTCAATTAAGCAAAAAGATACTTAAAAATATTTATACATTTAGTCTGAAACAAGACAAGAATCCTTCCTTTAGTATAATTTAATAGCTGTAATAAATATCAGTTGTGAAAAAAAAATGAAATTTTCAATCTACAATGTTTTTCGTTTCAATGCTTAAAGGAAGTAATATCGTTATTTTGTTTTATTCCTTGAAAGTATTTATTATGGTCATGAAAGGTAAGAACAAACCAAACTATCACCTAGG